TAATGTTGAGTAAAAATCAAAACTGTTTCTGTTTTGATCAAAGTTCGAGTTCCGGCAGGTATTTCAATTAAAAGAAAAGCATTAAATTGTGAAACAGTAACATTGGTTTTTGTATTAAATTTCATATATCAACAGAAATATTCGGACTGAGTTTCAGTGATGCCACTTATCTGTCAATACTCGCCCAACAGCTGTAGGAACAGAAGAGACATCGAACATGAGACGTTGAATCATTTCTGTTAATAAGCATAATTTTCTATATAAATATTTAGTTTTATTTCAATTAAAATCTTCCATGAACTGTGTATTTCCGGCACTGTCGTAAAAAGTTCGAAGTGTTTATATTGTTTTTTCTGGACTATTTTGTGGATGTTGTACAACAAAACGTTTGTGAGTAAATACATTTATTAAGATAGATATTAAAGTAATGTATAGGATGCTATTGTCGTGTATGTTTTATGCTAATATAATATCGTGTGTGATTTTCACAAATAAAGAGTCAAAAACAAGATACTGCATTCGTATGAACGTATACTTGTATAATACGGATAACATAAAAAGGATGGGAAACATATGAATACGAAATTCCTTGAAGTCTTCAGCACATTATTTCAACTACTTGCTTGCCTCATACTGTGTATTAAAAATTTTATTTTTGTGTATCCTACAAAAATACGATCCTGTGTTATATGTTATGTAACCGTTTATGCGATTTTTGACCCACACATATATTTATGTCTATATATCTATATCCTTTATATATTACTGCATTTTTATATACAACATACTTAAACAGCTGTCCAAAAGATACTTACAAACAAAAACATAAGAATAGATTACCAATAGGTCGTCCTCAGCCTAAATTTTATTTTTTCTACTTGATTTCATGATATGGTATACCCGTACAGTCCATTGCCTGTTTCTAATGTTGAAACAAACTGTCAACAAATACTTCAAACTAATTGCAAACATCTGTGTTAGGGCGAATTACACTTGTTTGTGATATTTAACAATCTACATTGTCATTGCCGTGTACCAGAAAAAAATATAAACAGTTGAAATTGAAAGTAGCCGTAAGGTCAAAATAGAGGACATTGATATGTAGTTCTGAGAAGATGGAGCAGCTAATTTTAAAACCTAGGTCATCCGTACACCGTACAAGGGAGATAATAGGTGATGACGCGGGAGCAATATCAATGCAGGAATATTTAAAAAAAATATATATATATAGATGTTATCTATTGATTTACACAATAACTTAATAGTTATAAATAGAGTCAGCACAATAAAAATAAATAGAGACAGCGGTATGACATCGATCATGGATACCTGATGATGAAGGAACAATTCAAACGTTTAAGTGATGGCGTTTGCCGAGAAAGTGACATTAAACATCGATGTAAGATTCTCCGTCGGATAACACTAGATAAACAGCTCGCCGGTCAACATCACACAGTTATCCTTGAACTCACTGTGCTTAGGAAAGGCTACATGTATGAAGTATCGAATCAACAGTGGAGTAAGCTCCATTAGAAAGAAAAGCGTAGAGGAAAATTACCGATCATATCAGAGATAAGGTATGATCAAACAACACATCAAACATTATAGTGTATATACACGATATATTTACCATCGTATGGCATTTGCCACTTTATAACCCTACCAAATTCAGTTGGCATTCATACAGGCTATGAATGAATACCATGGACCGATTGTTGGCGTCATCATTATAATGACGTCATAATTGTTACGTTGGATATCACTAAACCTCCCCAGGCGATGGTTGTTCCTTTCATTAAACAAGCATACACGATACATACATTGTTTGAACTTAATTAAGAATTAACTTTCTATTCAGTTTAAGTTATCGGGTGATAACTACAATGGAACTCAGGTAAATTGAATAATCGATGAAACTACACTGAAAGTTTATCCTTATATGTATAGTATATTTCTTCAATATTACCTTTTTCGTGTTTTTTTTTTCATTTGAAAGATTCCCGAAAATATAACACGAACAATAAATTTCAACTCTTCACATTTTTTAATATTATATGCTTAATATACAGTTTACATGTAACTGTCATGGAAAACTAGTGAAAAACAAACTCTACATGTTCTATCAAGGTTTCTCTTTAACGTGTTCTTTAAACCAGACTATATTTCGAGGAAGGATTACAAATATTTCATTCAAGTCCGATGTGTGATGCGTGAGTCATTCATTGTTGGTTGCTATTGAAGTTGAAGGAACAGCTTGTGAACGATGAATTTGTCAACATACCGGACTGAATTGAAGACAAAACCGACTCATTTGAGATGGAAGTTTGTGTGGGAGCCCTGTCAATGTCGGACATACTTTGTGTGGGACCTGTGATTGTGCTAGTTTGCATGTGTTTTGTTCATCAATATTGACATTGGTATCATTTTGTTTGTGTTATATTTCTAATAAACCATTGTTGCATCAAAAAATATTTGTTTTGTTTCAGGTTGTTCAATTGAAAAAAAAAAAGAAGAACAAAATCTCCCGTAAGGTATGGGTTATTTATAAAATTCTGCATTACATTTTTAGGCGGAGGGACAGGGATCCTTAAATGCTTAAATGAGTAATAGAGAGAAATACTCTGCATAAATCTTACTGCTTGAATGAAAGAAGGTTACATTTCAGTAAATAATATTAAATTAATTGAGTCAAACAGTGTAGTTTAGTACTGTATCGTCAAGTCTCAATTGAGTATTTTATTAAGTCATGAACGAGACATCCTTATCTTTTTTGATTTGGTAGTTCATTAAAACAGGTCTCATCTTTGTTGCTAACTTAGATGTCTCCTTTTAACCTGTACGTTCAAAGAGGCATATGATATAAGTTCAGCATTCATGTTAAGATGTGTCTCGGCGCTGATCATCCTGAACGTTTAATTAGTGACACTAAATACTTCTATCCGTCAGCCGCTTACCTCGATCTTTTCTTAAAACTTGACCAGATTTACTGATTATATTTTTGATAAGAGGTCAATTTCAATATTTCTATCGTTAATTTTCCCTTTTCTTCAATTTAAGTAAAAATATTGATTCTCTACGTGTTTGAATGTCAAAAATTAAATATTCACTAGCGTGCTCTATCACGATTTATTTGATAAAGGACAACACTGGGTTTTGATAAGACTGGGTAAGGTTTAATGGTCGTCGTCATAATCTTAAAATGAAACACTCTAGAAAGAATATCGACAATTCTTGGTATGCTTACCCGTATGTTTTAATGTTTCGTTTTTAGAAAATCAGTGCTATATTTGGGAGAAAAGGTAGACGAACACGCTTTCAGAAAACTACGTGTTACTTTCGTTTTACTTTATCGAGGATTTTTGTGTGATTTTTATTTGCAATAATTAAATTATATTACATAATTACATTGTATATGAAAACAACTGATGTTTGCATTACGAAACCAACCACTGATTCAACATCTTATATTTATAAGCCGTATTTCAGTAAAACAAAATTCACCTATGAGGAAGATTTCACAAGTTCAGTGGATCATCAAAAGGATGTGAAATAATAATACATAACTTTCCCGACAATGTGAGCTCTCTGGGTACTTACACATAAACAACACTGTCTTAATTCATCGGGGCTTACATGCGTGATCGATATAAGTTGCAATTTGCCATAATAGTTGTAAAGTAAAAAGAGTTTATATTATTATACATAATCTATATTCTATCTTTGTGTTCGCTGAATACTGCCTACAGTTGCATTTATTTAATCACCACCAACAGTTACGTTCACAAACCATGGCAACAACCTAACCTTATAAGGCACACGCAAGCTCATCTGAAATTGTTCTCCCCATGTGTATCTGACACGAGAAACGTGGGACTTTCAGTAGAGTTGACCGACTATTGTACCTGTTTTCAGAAAACTGCGCTCAGCCCCTGTCAATGAGGGGAACTCGTCTGGCGCACCTTTTCCGCTAACCTAGATTTTGTCACAGGTAAAGATGGGTGCATATAAGATTATGCTGTTGCTTCTCTGTTTTGATTTTTGTCAACGACTTCATAAATCGTATGTCTAAGATTTCATAATCATATTGATTTTTTCAAACTACCGAGTAATACGTATCTAAGTAAGAATATATTTTCGTTCTGTATGTTGTCAAATGAACCTTGTTATTGTTCACAAATAAGCACTTTTACTAAAAACCCGTGACTACTTAATAAAGGAACTGAGTTTTTTTTATTTTTCATTTCCCTTTAAAGATAAACCGTACAAATTTTAAACTATAACTCCTTTCATTTTGATTACAAAATATAAAAAAATACTATTTACTGGATAATTATTTAAGATCTATTAACAACCATGCAAAAATAAACTAATTTACTTTAATTCAATATCAACAAGGTGTTCCCAATGTTAGTTGTTGAGTTTTCATATTTGATAATACATAAGAATTCGAATCCAGCTCAACTTTACTTGAAAACATTTAAATTACATTAATACATCAAAAATAAATTTTCATTGTTTCACATGGGTTTTTATAGTGAATGCATTTCAGAGTTATGCTGCTAGGAGTGTCATTGGTCAAATTTATAACTGTAGTCAAAGAAATCCATGATAGTGTTTAAAACCATGTCTTAGTCTTTGTAACCTGGAGGGAGGCTTTGGAAAAGAAACATGTACACGTGTAATTATAGCTAACAAACCGTGTCAACGGTACATCCGGGAGACTGCGGTTTCGTCACTGCTGAGGTTGTTGAACGTCAAAGTAAATTGCAACGAAACATGCAAGTCATGACACATGGTTTGACACATGTACATGCAATCTTAATTTTACATTTCCATATACGTGTATGCGTAATCGTAAGTTGGCAAAGCGCGCAAATAACAAGTCTCCGAAAAAGATACAAGGTTGTACACTGCTTTTGATTACAACGACGACACCGACCTCAAACGTTCTATCAACCAATCGACGAGCCAGATACAGTGAGTGACACGCTGAAACAATCGTTCGGTTTGTAGGCGTGTTCTTTTTGAACACGACTTGTTGACGCCGTAACGATTTTGATTGTAATATTGCATGAACTCATGATCGATAGATATATTTCACGCCGACATTTATTTACTGCGAGTCACATATATTTGTGATTGAACGCTCCGACCAGTCCCTTTTAAAGGACAACTCCGGACATGCCAGGTAACCGTTCACAAAGATAGCACACCTACTTTATTCAAAACCGACTTTGACTTTGCGCAGTCAGTTCAGAAAAGAACCTCATCAACGTAACGATACGTTTATTTCCCAACCGTCATTGTAGTTTTGAACGGATTGACATAACGCCGACTCAACTGATCATCACCTGCAGCATGGCTAACTTAGGGGTTTTAGCAACAGGTAAATATATATTTTAAGTATGTACACAGATATTGATATGAAATTATATTTTTATTCAGAAAATGTATTTTTATTATGTATTTATATGAGGCCAAAACAAATACTATATATCTTTAATGGAAAATGACTGAAGAAATAGGGTAGTTCGGTAGGGATTTTTTTATATAAACATTTTAAGAAAGGGATGGGGCGGGGCTAATTTAAGAAATTACAAAAAAAATACCAAACATAGTTAACTATTAAGACGAATTGTTTTATTTTTTCATTAAATTTTCATGTGTTTTAAATAATAATATTGGATTTTCATACCTGCCTATAAAGTAGGGATGCATCATAAAGTTGCTAACGATTGTTGTAACGCTTACGTGGGTTTTTTAAGTACAGTACATCTGGGTGACATAAAATTGTTAGGTTCGGAGGTAAAAACTATAGTGGGTCGGAATACCAGAAACAGTATTTTTGGTGTTAATTTTGTCCGATACATGTTAAGCATTAATTTAAACATATTTAATTGCTAAAACATGTATGCAAGGGATTAGGCACGAGGTGTTGCACCTTATATTAGCCTTCCCCCGCTATACATTTAAATGGACATAGTGCAAATGAAAACGGGCTAGTGTACATTCCCCTGTTACCTCGGAATTTCCAGGGCATTTGTAGTGACACAAGGAACACTGTATGCCCTAGTCCAATCTCGCCACCACCAGTCATTCAATCAGAACGTACAAACCTTTCTATCACAACTATTTTCTGTCTTTTTTATTTGATAATGAATTTAGTTTCAAGGGATAACTCGATTATTTCTACAACGAAAACTAGATTAAAAAAGCCAATCCCATAAACATAATTTACTCAGTCAGGGTCGTTTTAAAATCGAAAGTTCTAAACACGTTCAATTCATATAGAGTATTACAATGCTATATGATTGGATTCATTGAAAACATAACTATTTCAAACAGAAATCTTCTAATGGACGTATTATTCTTGGGCTTAAGTCCCCCTGAGACACCCGCTTAATACACTAGTGCAGCATGGAGTCGTCAAGTTAGCTTATACATGAATGTGTGGTATTGCATATTTATCATTCATCATATTCATCATCTATAACCTATTTAAAACATTTTGTTCCACCAACTAATAAGATAATGAACACATGCTTAGGATTGGTCAGTGTAGAAATATAAGGATTTACTTGAGCAAATGAGACGCTAAGTTGTCTCCATGTGTTCAATGACGATGATTGATGAGGTGTATCACCATTCTGATATAAATGCGTTGATGATAGGGATAAAGCTCTTTGTTCATAAATAGTTTTCAAAATCACGAAACTATTTGAAATAACACCATTTTGAAGTAAATGCGTAGATGGAGCAAATAATGACAAGAACGTTTTGTCCCAGAATTTGACAATAAGTGTTTATACACCTTGTAATCTAGTTAGGTACAGTAGAGCAGAACGTCGACTTAAATTGATAAATCTCATCAACCACTCGATGATAAAAAGTCCACATGCGCTGACCTCTCTGCCTTTTTCTACGAACTTACAATGTCAATTGTTCTCACGGCACACCCAGAAACCACTGTAGAACATCCGTTTCCCACTAAACTACAAATATGTATGACAAACTCGTTTTTGCTACAGCGATCTATTTAACACTATTCTTTCTGAATGGGGGCGTTCATAGTGGTAGATGATCCTACTATCGGTTAGTCAGGAGCAATCTACCCACTTCAGTTATCGTTTTGCTTCGCTTCTGTGCCTCTATAAACAGTGATTAATTTTGGAGAGGGTTTACATAAGCTTCGTCTGCTTTCCATTGGTTTTTTCTTCATTGATTAAAATATGCATGAGTATCATATGACAGGGAAACATAAATGGCTGATAACGTGTACTTGGTATCCTAAATAATCACTCACAGCGAGCCCACACATATGTGTTTTCCCTTTAGGACTTCTTGAATTTGTCATTCCAACTACACAGATAGATGAATAATTATTTTGTGTATGCAAACAAAGTTCTTTGTGCTGTTTTAAGCAGATTTTAAGTGTTAAATATTTACCTGTTTTCTAAAAAAAATAAAAATGTTCATAACTCATTTTTTGGGGTCTTTTGAAATAACCGTAGTTTCGCACAAAATAACGCCACCTGCCATGATTTTCTCATGATTGTTAAGTTTACGGAAATAAAGTAAATAGAAAATATTACAAAATAACGTGAAATGAGAAAAATAACTACAAAAATAAGTAGTTTTCTGGTATATTTTAATTGAATTGCAATTATAAATTATATTTGTTTATTTTTTGAAAAAAAAAGGGTTTGTACAAATATTGACAGTATATCTAAGAAATCACTACTTAATGTCATTGAACCGATAAATGAGTAACCATACGTCTGTGATATCAAGGAGGTTAAACTGATCTTATACAGAATCCTCTGTGGTAAGACTGCAACTTTTCATTAACCTTTTTGTTTTCATGTTTATTTCTATTCTTTATAAAATTCAAAATATTTTCTATGATAACAATATGTAAGTAAAGAATGGAAAAATGTTGCATAAGATGATCTAGTATCAAAGTCTATACACAACTAAACATTCCTGATTTTTTACAGTTAATCAAACCTGCCAATATAATTATAGCAACATTGAGGGCTACGTCGTCTGATATTCATTTACGATTTGATTGGATACCGTTTTACATGTAATCCTGTTTCTTTTCTGTATCCTGTTCCATTTACCTTTCGTACATTTTCTTCTTTTCACCTTTTTTATCATGATGTCCTAGGGTCTTGCTTTGTTCTGAACCAATAAAACAATATCAGGAAGTTAGTATTGTTACTGCTGTTTCACTTTCGATTCCAGTTTCCTTTTTTTCACCTTTTAGATGTTTGCTATCCTACATGATGATTCTTGTCCATGTCCTTGTTTTCATTTTATGTATAAAATAATGTATTGAAGCAGGAACCAATACCACATAGCTCAGATATAAATAAGTCTAGGGTGATTATTTTCCTGATTGAAATTATTAAGACCTGAATTAAACTCCTTTTGATATGAATAATAATAAGTTTTCTCAGACATACATTAGCAATATAGATTGCGATTTTTTTATCTGTGTGGCAATGGGCAAAATAAAGGAAAATCCCGCTTAAACTTTAAGACAAACAATAATAATTCCAGTACATGTATTTATAATGAGCTATTGTTTCAGTTTGTGTTCTGGCCGTTATGACTGATCAAGTGAATGGTCAGTGTCCCCAAGCAACCAAATGTTTCAACGACCTGGGTATTGAAACAAACCCTGCCGCCGGTCTGGCTGTTGACATACAGAATATTTGTAGGTTAGTATCCTGAATTAATGAACCTCTTCTGTAGCGTATATCTTTTGATTGACAAGTTTGGTAATTGTTTTAAAGTTTTAAATACTACCCGTTAACCGGGAACTTATCCAGAGCCAATCGCTATGTAAATCTGGAGGTAAAAGGAACCACCAGGTTAATCTATAATAAGTGAAAATGAAGTATTCCATAAAAATTACATGTTGACGTGCGTTTAACAGAATTACAGTTGTTTGAAATTGGAATGTTTGAAAATATATAAAAAAAATAACCCACAGGAGCAGTGTAGCTATATCAACCTTTCTCACATCATAACATAATAGTGTTCTTGTGAATGATTGATATTTGGTAATAATAAAGTAAATGTCAACAAAATGGAAAGTATTTGGGAAAGGACGTACAACATAAGAAATAGTAATATTCGATGCAATGGTAAGTTATCGTTAATTTATGAAATCATTACACAGCGGTTCTTTTTACCCAACATATTAATGTTTGCATGACTTTTCCAAGACGATTCGACTTACAAATAAAGTGTGGACCCCACCCGAATGTTATTGTCATTTAAACTGTCGAGATACTAGTGTACCTAAATAACAAAACACTGGTAGATAATCAATAATAAATGCAGTCAAGATATTTTCGTTTAGTAGTTTGGTTCTTGTGACAATGTTTTAGGATATATGTCCGTTTGTTTCGAAGGCATTTAGATTAGACCAGATAGCACAATCCACAAGATTATGTTTTGGAAGAGAAGTAATTGAACGAACTAATGTATATCCCATGCGAAGCCTGATATGACAGTTATGTCATAAACGCATTTTTAATTTTCATTGACGCACATTTTACTGACAATTAACAATCAAAGGGATTGGTCACAAGTTCTTACATTTACTGGGCCCTCTCCCCATTGTAACTTTTATTCAGGAGGAACAGCAACAATTCTGCTTGAATAGTTTTTCATAGTGTCTGGAATTTTGTTCCATATCACAATGTTTGCAGGGAGGAACTTTTTTTTTTATTCTTATTATGTTGTCGTGAATTGCTGCATTTGTTTGTGGTATCGTATCACTGAGATATGTTTTTATGTATTGTGAAATCATATATTTTCGTGAGGCCCAAATATCGTGGTTTTCCGACAAAATATAATATCATGGCTACATGAATTCGTGGAATACGGTTACCGATCCAAACAGAAACTAATTTATGTCAAACTTGTAATTACTCCGATGACTATGAATTTGTTGATGTAGATTACCCGAAAAATCAACGAAAAATAAAAGTAGTGATTGCACAGTAATTGGAAGAGTTTACGAGGTCAACTTAACGTCAAATTACTAATCCTTACTAAACATAATGAACATCCTCGATATCCAGGGGTAACGCTACCTTTCGCTCTCAGCACCACTGGACTATGTCATAGCAAATTTGAAGGCTCAGTGTGCGCTTCCTTGTGCCTTTGATGTACATCAAAATAAACCTGTGGTTGCGTAACGGTAAAACTGACTGGCTTTGAAGTTGGGCGTCGCCCCTCTGTAATCTTCAAGGACAAGTATCAGGCTAGTGATTGGTCAGGTTTGTTACATGACACCAATGACATAGCTAGTCGCGTGCCTTTAATTTTGATATTGCTTACACTTCAGGGGTGCAGAGACTGAAGGTGAGCGTAAACCCTGCAGAATGTGTAGATCACGTGTACGAAACCGTCTAATACTATTTTGTGTAAGAACTATCGGTCCTCTGTTGCACAAAACTGAGAATAGTGCTTGTTTCAGACTGACCGTAATATACATCTGAAAGTTCAAATTTCTGCCTATATACATGTAACATTTATTTCACTAGCTTTCCTTATTTTGAACTCTTTTTTGAAATTATATGCACACATGTACTCACAAGCTTTTCCGTTATCTGATATTTTATATAAGATTATCAAGAATCCATAGGTGTTTCAAACATAGATACATTTAACGCACACACGTTAGGAGTACATACACAAATTGTCACAAACTGATAAAAGCAGTCGAAGGTCAAGTTATTGTGAAATAGCTATGTGTCATTAGAATGTTTGTCTAAATGAAACATTGGACGGTTTGGGACAGTCTGTTGAGTAGATCGTGCTGCCGACACCGTTGAGAAGAAGTGTGTAAATTAAGACATAATGAGTGTCATTATAGGATTGGGAGTTATATATATTCTGATAAATAGGTTGAGGTCATCATGAGGAATTGACATCTTAAGGAAAGATAAACAATGTGATGTAGGAAGGTAGACGGAGACCAATACGTGGCTATAAGTCGTCAAGCGATGTTGAGGTTAGAGAGCCAAGTACATAATGTCACTGGTACAGCTTTACAACTTTTATTTTGATTTAGTCACTGCCCATTAAACATTTATTTTAAAGAAGATATAAAGATATTTCAGCAATGCTGACTTTAATGGAACGAACGGATATCTTCAGTTGATTGAAGTGATTTTTTTTATTAAATTAATGACAAGAAAATCCTTTATAAGGGATAAATAATGATAGAAGTATCTACTATTCGACTTCTCGNGGGGGGGGATGGAGACCGACAACCGATAGCCAGCAGTTCTTCCACCCAAAGACCCCAGATAGTTTTCATATTTGTCAAGTTATAATATAAACTCAGAATATAGAATCAGTTACAGATTTTTATTATGATAAATATAATTCATTTTTTTATATTCATTTATTTAATTTTTACCTCAATCTACAATTTGTTACGATTCTTTGCTTTAGAAATTAATAATGGTACACGATGAAATCGTTAAGAGTCGGAATCACCATATCAGGAAAGCATTTATTTGAAATAGTTTGGCAAGATGGTTTGATTGATAAAAAAAAATTTCAATCGTATAAGTGGAAACCTGTTGGAGTGGCATTCTTTATATTTCAATGATAGGGAATATGTTGGTTTAACGTGGATAAAAGTAAAATTTGCAAAACCGCAATAAATCAGAAAAAAAGGCAATGAAATTGAAAATCTTCTCCGTTTAAGATCTCTACCATAAAATATTAACTTCGCTTCTGAATTTGGAAAAAAATATCGCGTTCATCAGTGTTACATTTTATAAGGTAATGTTTTCAGCACTCCATCTCAAGCAAACAAAAGTAGCTAAGGTGTAGGAACCCATTTCTGAAATTAGACGACTATAAGATTCATTTGTGCAGAAACAAGATTTGTTGGTGTAGAAAGGACTATTCTTGGTAAGTGATATTTGTTATTCATTTAATCGTAATAATGATGACATGTTACTAGCTTGGTAGCTTGAAAAATGAGAAAGAATCCGTGTATAATGTTTTTTATCTTCGTCTGTATTTCAGTGAGTCGGACCAGGTATTGCATTGCTATGATGTTCTTTTGCAATGTGCATCAATCACCCCGGCAATAACTGTGCTTCCAACAAACCAGCAAATGCAAAAGGCTCTTCAAACTCTGTGTCAAAACAAAACTGGTGAGTAAATGAACAAATTAATAAGTATTATTTATTTATTAGCATTTTCTTTGGCAAATCGGTGGGCCGAGGAAAGGTTGTGATTGTAGAAAGGCAGTATAAATATTGTGTCGGATCCTGAAGGAGAAAGCAATCTAAATATTGTGAAATTGTGATGTAAAAAGCAGCATGTGTATGGTTTATGGTCGAGGAACGAAAGAAAGATGTTGATTTTTCATGATAGCAATTAAAGATATTTGTATGTATAACTGAAAGGAAACGATAGATGTTTGTGGAAACAGTGTACACAAATAGATGTTTGTGGAAACAGTGTACACAAATATATGTTAAGCATCACCGATGAGTCCTACACGGAAGAAACATATGTATGATGCAATGTCATACATTCTTGGTGTATTTATAATGTTAATGATGTAATGAGTGTGTTACGTTCACCTTTTAAGACAAATGACGGTAGACTCTGTTGGTAGATTGTTTAGTTCCCGATATTTGCTATGACCATGACTGCCAGTTATTTCCCCTGGGTAGTGGCTGGTTCATACTACACCTACTTCACAGATTGTTTGTAGTTGAAATTAAGCAGATATCCCCTTAATTTAAATTGAATTAATAAATTAAGGGTTTTTACGCACCTTTCCCTCTGATTCAACTGTAGTTTAGACTATTTGGATTGCTAGGTTTTTGGCCCCTAGCATCATTGATGAGTCCTAGAAGGACGAAACAGCTGTATGATGCAGCTGTATTCTTTTTTGGCATACTGTAACCATTATCAAATTTTAAAGGTGCAGTCACCTGTGTGTTACGCTCATCTTGCAGTACGGTATTAAACATCACAAGACCATATCTAGAAATCATGAAGATTTTAATCTCAATTGTTAAGACAATGCATATAACCACATTCATTAATGTAAATGCAAGTACACTGTATGTCATAAATATAACCTTCATCCAAATCAAGTGTTTATTTAAACAATAAACTGCATAGATGTGGCAGACCAACTGGTATAACTGCCACATGTGTCACAGACAAACTAAATAATGAGTGCTAGCGCACCATGATAAGTTTGTCTATGACACTTGTGGCAGTTATGCCAGTTGGTCTGCCACATTTATGCAGTGTATTGCTTATATTTATATATTTTCGTAATGAGAATTCGCAAAAACATTTTTGTCTTTTCCAACTTTCAAATTTCCGGCTTATTACCGTCAGGTCAGGTCAATATCTTGAACGGCCCAAAGATAACAGCTGACGTTACGCGCTATTTCCCATACAAAATTGAAAAGACTTAATACGCAACTTTCGTTAATAATTCATTTATTTTTAATTTATTTATATCATATTCTCAATTCATAAAGAAGTAACAAATAACCTTTTGTAAGTAACTATTCAAATGTCGTAAAACATTTTCCGATTTTATTGCGATCTATATCCGGCGCACGCACTCAACGGAAGCCTGCGGTAATCAGGTCAGAGTTTATTTGCAGTCCGGCATGTTGTTGATGTTGATCGTGCAACCTGAGAAGGTTGAATTTGTGAAAAGCCGGCGTAAAATTGTTTGTTGATCTCACAAACAGTTGAGACAGGCAGCTGGTGTTCGGGTTCAAAGCAGAAGATACCGATAAGTTCAGTAGTGACACTGTTAAGTCGCTCGGAGGTGCAAAGACCAACTTCAGTTATAGTCCCATACCATGAGGCTGCTATTGGCAGTACTTTAGTAGTAATATAGAAGGGCTTTGCTACACCAAATGTAAATATATTTTGATCAAATAGCCTAACTTCAAGAACAATTGTTTTGAGACCAGGATTTGTGGAGCTGCTATTTTCTTAAAAAATAAAAACTTTATTTAATTCACACAGGGATCAAACACAATATTTTAATTTTTATTAATCAGTCTTGTTGACCCACGTGTTAATGAACAGGGGATTTTAATGTAGGAGAAAACTGGTGTACCCGAGAAAACCAATGAGATCGGGAAAGTGAATCAGTACTTTTTCACGTCCGATCGGGAAATCGAACCCAAGCCGCCTTGATGAAAAGCAAGTGCGCTATCCACTACACCAACCACCCCGCTAAGGGAGGTGCTATTTATTTGAAATATTCAAACGTATTGATGGCGTACATATATATGTCAACGTGACACTAATATTTACCGCACCAGATGACTTAATTTTCCAATCTGAAGTCCTCAGTGGTATTGGGTTTAATAATAATAAAAGACAATGAATTGTTTATTTTTCTTTTCGGTAGATGGTTACTGCTCACATCCCGGCTAACAATAATGGTTAATATAAGTTTGAATAAGTTGTTAAATAATATTACATGCCTTCACATGTGTCTTCTCCTGCTCAATCAACATACTATTATTTCAAAAATATTTTTATCTCTTTCTGGTGTTACCAAAACATGTAACTCAAATACATGAGCTTTAGAGATATCGTATGCACTTTTCCAGTGGTCATAAACAGTGAAATGTACGTACGATATATGGATATAGATATATTTGTGTTTTTATTTTTATTAGACGAATCCACAACGGTAAGCTGTAGGTGAAACTGGTTGTTTAACTGTTTGTTTTATAAAAAGTTGGCATTTTGCCACTATTTATTCCGTTATTGATGAAGTTCGTTGTTTTATTTCTATGGTAATTGAAACACATGTATATAATTCAGAGATATAAAGATCAATCATCGGAAATTTCATCATTTTATATTGGTGTTTTTTTCTAGAGCTGGTAAACGGATTTAACTGCCTTGCCCGACAACAAGCATATCCTACAGAGACATCAAACTGCGCTAACCAGCTCCAGACAAGTAATGCCGGTTTGACGCCTGCGCAACAGAAAGACATCAAAGGATCGTATTGCAGGTACTTTGACAAAAATACTCATATAATGACGACAGTTCAGTTTGATTGAGATTCATAGAGTAAATGTTAAGCGAGAAAAAATACCTATACATTAAAAGTTAAAATCTTAAAATGTTTTATTAATAGCACAACCTGAATTATATGATTTTTAAAAAATCAAAAGTATAACTCTTTTGAAAAAATGATCTTTTAAATAGTCCTAATTTTGTACATATAATAAAGATATCTAATGAGTGCTGGAACACACATGTAAGCTTTCATGTGGGGCGTAAGAATTGTACCTGCTGCCCTCATTGCATGATCGTAAGAGGCGACTAAATTTCGGATCTTGTCTTTTCTCTTCTTTCTAAACAACTGTCTTCTTCTTGATGTCTCCTTTGACAATGCCTCACTTTTGGCCTTTAGTTGACCCCTGAGAGGAAGGCTTTGGGTTCTGTCCCCTGACCGAAACATGCCAGAGTCTGTAAAAATGGTAGTTTCTACTCCTGCTTAACGCTCAGACGTAACGCGCGATGTTGGTGACACTTTGTGTAACGTAAAATGACGTCGTTTTATCATATATGACGTCGCTTTTTAGATATTTAATATTTTTTGTATTATTTGTAAAAAAAACTTGTATGCTACCCTGCGAACAAAGAAGAATGGACAACGTAAGCTGATACACTTTTTTTTCCTAATTGTTGTGAAATAAATAAAGTTGAAAAGTTTCAACCGTTTCAGAATGAGTCATTTCTCCCATTTTTGGACCTTTGCTGTATATACATTTGTACCAATAGAGAATAATTATATAAGTATCAACGTCAGATACATGTATATGTTGTTTTTTCAATTCTATTGATAAGTATTGACTTTATCAACGTACTGTTTCAAAAATTGTAATGATGCATTAAATTTAACTCGAAATAATACAATGGCATCACGATTTTTACTAGTATTTGGCACTCGTGAACGTTATTCCCGCTACGTCGCCTAAGTACAGTGTAGGACATTTTACGGAAATTGTAAAGTGTAATGCGATTTTTTCATTATTGATCCCATCACAGAAGTGAAAACTGTTTCATTCTATTCAGTAAAAACGCATTCTTATTAGGAAAATCTTAGTTTAGTTCATGTCTCGTAATTCAATAGTATACGTTACCAAAGTTTCAATGTATGCAAAATGAGGTTAAAAAACAACTACATGACAATTTTCGGAATTTTAAAATTTGCCTGTTTTACAAGAAAACATTCTTCAGTTAGATATTTTTCTGTATATGATAATTTCGACACAGACGCATTACATATATAATTTTATGTATCTCAAATATCTGATAAAATCCTGCTGTCAACATGATAGATTCATGCTGAGCTTTCTGCTTACAGGGGTGTCAGCGTTTCAGTTGACAAACGGAATGGAATGAAAATGCAATGAAAACGCAACGAGAACGAAATGAAAACGGAATGAAACAAGGCCTAAACGGAACGGAACGAAAATAAATTCACTGTTTGGAACGAAACGCGAATAGAACGGAACGAAACATGTTTTGCTCACAGGAACGGAATGGATTGAAAGTAGGTGGAACGAAACGCGAGGAATGATTGAAAACGAAATGGAATAAAACGATCTGAGAAGATAACTATTTTAATCGAGATTTCCTATCTATAGTGGCTAGTTACGATAAATTAGCAGTAGATAATAATGTTTAGTAAATAATTACAACTTTGCATATTTGTTTATCGTATTTATTCCATATCTTAGGTTTCTAGATGATATCAGAGACACATAATTAATCGATTATTTGTGAATTGTTTCGCCGAATGATCTGTCCGTTGTTGAAATAATATATGATAAACGTACTTTCACTTGACGATTTCACAAAGCATCCAATACATATTAGGGTTATACATATTACTTTTATGAATTCGGTGCATGGCCAAGATTCTCATTTATTATTAATATTGTATGAACCAACTAACAATACTCCGAGACGGACGATGTCCGGGGCCCAGGATCATGAAACAGACTTGTAAGTCTAAATCTGGACTTTAGTCTCATTTTTTTTT